ACACACCAGCACACAAATGCTCACAGGTGCACATAACCAAAAATTAATCTTAAAAACCAAACATGGAGCTGGAGAGAGGATTACTCAGTTAAGACCCTGACTGCTCTCAGAGAACCCAGTTTCCGTTTCCGCCACTACATGGTGGCTCACAGCCACCTGTAACTCAAGTCCTAATGGGTCCGATGCCCGCTTGCAGCCTCTGTAGGCACTGCATTCGTGTGGTGCACAGACATGCAAAGCATTCGTACACACAAACTGCTGGTTTTGCGTAGAAACAACTTCATCTCTTCTGTGAGAAAGTCAAGGTGCTAGAGTCACGCCTCAGAATGATCTGGAAGTGTTGCAGTTGTTTTTCCTCCCAGCCCCAAGCTCCCAGAATCATAACTCATGAGACTCAGAATACATATATGTACACATACCCAGGCCATAGAGCTAGGCTCTTCTCTGACTAGCTCATAACTTAAAATAAACCATTTATGCGGATCTACATTCTGCCATGTGGCTGGTTAGCTCTGGAGAGAGCTAGGGGAGCCTGGACGACAGTCCTGCACCCTGTAGTGAGCAGCTGGGTGCTCAGTCCAGCAGGGGAAACATTCCTAAGCTGTCTTCCCGCTGTGGGTGGGTGATGGGATGGTGCCGTGGGCAGCGGGGACTGACCGGCTCCTGTGTGTGCTGTGCTTCTGCTGTGGCCTCAGAAAACACTACTTTTATGAACGGTAACAGCTGCAGGCAGGCCCTCAGCAAGAACTCCAGAGGAGAACCCAGTTAGCAGCCCCTGAAGCCATTCCAGTGGGACCGTGTGTGGCGACGTCTCCACAGTGATATTAAGACCAGCCAGTGACAGGGTGTGAGGGACAGAGCCAAGGTGCATGTGTATGTCTTAGTTTTCAACAAAGGTAGTAATAATAATAAATGAAACAGAAAAAAACGCCTATTGAAGAGGGTATAAAGATGGCTCAGTAGTTGAGCCCTGGCAACTCTTCTAGAGGAAGTGAGTTCAATCCCAAAAACCTACATGGTGGCTCACAACCGTCTGGAGCTCTAGTTCCAGCGGATCCAAGGCCATGTGGCCTCTGTGGGCACCAGGAACAAATGTCTACCTACACATTCACGCAGGCAAAACTCTCACACACCAAAAACAATTTTAATTCCAAAACGTCTGGGAGGGGAACACCTGATAATGTCTCAAAATAACGCACGTTTTCAAGGTGGTTTTACTACTGCTGGCTTCCACGGGCATTCATTTCAAACTCTTTTCCTAGCTTCAACAGTTCTGCAGTCCAGGAGAAAAAACTTGACCTTAGCTCTTTGCAGTTAGCTCCTTTTCTTCTCCTAAGTCGGAGTTCTCGGAATAGGTAACTCTGGGAATGCAGAGGCTCAACGCTCCCAAGATTGAACACAAAGCGTAAGAGCGTGCATATTATTTCCAGGGCGGGGCCCAGCTTTCAGCGAGCGTTCAAAACGGTGTGATCGCGAGCTGAACCCCCGCCTCCTCGGCCAGCACGGGGCGGGGGGCTCTCGCGCACTGTTCCCATCCTGGGCGCTGACACTTGTGTCGGCCGCACCCCCGCGGCCTGTTCACCTACGGACACGCCCCGCAGACGCCGAGCCACGGGGACCCCCGCGCGACGCCCGCGAGTCTCACGGCCCCAGGCCGGCCGGCCTGACGGCGGCGGGGCGGGACTTCCGGGCGCGCCTGCGCACGCCCCGCAGAGACGCCGCCGTGGGGGCGGGGCCGAGGGCGCTTCCGGTTCCCCTGGGGTGGGGGCCCTAGGGCGACTTCCGGTTGGGAGCTCCGTGTGGGGTTCCGGTCCCCGCGTGGCGAGCGGCCAGGCCTTCGAGCTTAGTCGACCGGGAGGCCCAGGTTGGACGACCGCTTCCGTCCTCCTTTACGCTGGAGTATTTCTCGGCGGCTGTGTCGAACGTTGCCACAGTGTTGGGTTTGGTGGCTGAGCGCGCTGGCGTCTCTCTCCGGCCTCGGATTCTGACACTTTGACCGGCGGCCTCTTAATTGTGTAGGTAGCAACTGTGACTTTTTCCCGGAGTGCGGCCCCTCGCTGGGTGCCGCCCTGAGGGCTCGGATTTCAAGGTGGCAGCTTATGTTTCTCCGACTTCCTGGTGGACAGTTTTTAATAGTTTTTATTTTTTATATTAACCACAGGTTATTTACTTTGTATCCCGGTAGACAGTTTTTTTTTTAATTACAATGTTCTGGGCTGGAGAGATGGCTCGGAGTTTACGAACGCTGTCTGCCCTTGGAAAGGTCCTGAGTTCAATTCCCAGCAACCACATGGTGGCTCACAACCATCCATAATGGGATCTGGTGCCCCCTTCTGGCGTTCAGGCACACATGCAGGCAGAACACTTGTATTGTAATAAATAAATCTTTTTTTAAAAAATTACAATGTTCATTTCCTCATCTGCGAATCGTTTTTTTATTTTTTTAATTAGAAATGACTAAATATTTTCAGTATCGGTCTTGGAGGTGCCCTTCTACCTTCTCTCTACTGTTTAAAATACTAAGTTTTCCAGGGGTGAGCTCCTAAGTGCAGTAAATGAACATGAGTCAAAGCACCGTTCTGATAAAGTTCTGGGAAATGCAGAGACAGAGCAGGTGATGCAGAAGCAGCAACAGCCTAAGCGAGGTCCGTGGGGTGTTCGGGTCACCCTCGTCTGGGCCTTGACACAGAGGCAGCAGCCTGCAGCCTGGTCCAGCAACTTTAATAACAGATGGAGTCCCCTCGGCACAACCCCATGAGCCCCCAGAGCAAAAGCTTCCAGATCAGGCTGGGCCTCCCCGCCTACAAGGGCAGCACACACTAATCCTTCAATCAGACGTGTTCTCCACAACCTGTCCTTCAGGCACGGGCACAGTCCCCACTCAGCTGATCCCTGAAGATGTGAACTCAGACAGTCACACCGTATTCCCGACATCTGGCCCGGTAGTTGCCCATGGAGCAAGAAGGCATTTTGCCAGCCCAGCCCAGAATCCCATGCTCGCTCAGCTTGCTGGCAGGCGTGGAAGACCTCCCAGTGCGAGCTCACAACGGTACCGGTAAGGCAGACGAACCTGGATCTCACAGAGTGCCAGAGATCTCCACAAGGACAGTGTTTTGGAAGCAAGACATTTCCTTTCTCTTAAGACTGTAAACAACTCTTGGACATTTTGTAGCCTGAAAGACAACTTTCCACGGGACGGGTAAGAACTGTGGCTGTCTATGGCTTAAAGCAAGCATGCAGGTGGAGCCTGAGAGATGACACTAGGGGACTGTGGCTTGTTATGGCTGCTTATCCTCACCCTCTCTTCCGCCTTGGTGTGACTCGTGTGTACTGGGAGGCCCCTAGTATTGAAGCAAGCAAGCATGTGCCCCCCACTCTGCTCTGCCAACAGTAAAACCTGTTTATTGCTACAAACAAACGGCTGGCACTTTTTGCTGTTTTCTTTATGAAAGAATTAAAAGTCTAAAGTCAGAGAACAAGAGATCAATGTTACTGAAAGTCACTCTCTATATAATTACACAGCAGAAAACCTCCTCCCAGAAACCGCCCTTTGGCCTCCGCTGTGGCTACATCTCTGTCCCTAGTAACTTTTTAAACTCACGGTATGATCTTCCACTTAGGAGACACAGAATGTGCTGGGTGTTGTGACGCTGTTCTTGCCTGTCCCACCCCAAGCTGCAGACTCTTGGGAGAGCGCCCACATCATGCCATTCTGTCTCACTATAGTTGTGGACATTGCTCTCCAGGTGTTAGAGCATCCTAGCTGAGCTGAAGAGACTCTGAGAATGAGCAGAGAGCATTTTTAGCTCACTCTCAGGGTCATTATCTTTTATTAACTTACTGTTTCTCATAAACAATACTCCATTGTAGAGTTACAGGACACTATATGACTGAGTATTACTAAATCACACTTTTCTGGTCGCTGTGTGGATGTGTGGGATTTGATGAGACCCGCATTCTCAGAAACAAAATGCAGGAGTCATATGTTGGGAAAAGTATGGACAATTTCAGTGTGGACTAGGTATTAGATAATATGAAAGTTTGTGTTAATTGTATTAGCAGTTTAAACAGCAGTGTGTGTGTGTGTGTGTGTTTGTGTGTGTGTGTTGCAAGACAGGGTTTCTCTCGATAGCCCTGGCTGGCCTGGAACTCACTCTGTAGACCAGGCTGGCCTTCAAACTCAGAGATCTGCCTGCCTCTGCCTTCTGAGTGCTGGGACTAAAGGCCTGTGCCACCATACCCAGCCTTCTATATTTTTTAACCCCAACTGCTGGAATGTTCTCTTTTGCAGAGCACACTGAAGTGTTCAAGATGGAAGAATCATATCTGGGATTCATATTAAAGTATCTGCCAAAATTTTGAATTGATATATTAAAACATGAAATATTAGCTATTAATATATGAAGTACATATTAATAACTATTAAAGCTCTTCTAGGACTTGAAACTTTTCAGAACAAGTAAGAAGCACCACAAATAAAACACAGGCCTGGAGGGGGGGTGGCTGCAGCCCCATCTCAGGTGGAGCTCTTTGCCACAGCAGAGGATCCATCTTTGTCCCAGGCCCTCCCGCCCCAGCCCACCACTTCTGCGTTAGACTCTCATTTGCTGTCCCTGCGTTTTTTAAGTAGAAGTGGCAGCATGGCCATGAGTCCCTTTAACAGCCCAGGTGCAGAGGCCAGGCTCTGGGCAGGCGTTAGTGTCACAGTGGAGATGGGACACAGCAGCCACTGCAGCAAGGCAGGAGAATCAGAGTCCTCTGAGCCTCCTGAACCTCTCTCTAGGTATATCCAGCCTGTGAGGACCTGGGGGGGGGGGCACAAGCTCCCAAGCCCTCAGCATTTCTTCCCAGCTGTGTGTTTGTTTGTTTCAAAGCCTTTCCAGTTCTTGGTGTCACAGTGGAAGTGTCCACAAACCCCCGGAATCGAAGTGAACCCCCATCACACAACACAGACCACTTTGGAACTCCATTCACACTTTGGCAACAGTGAGCTCGGTGTCTTCCAATGAAAGGTGTTTTTATTTAGAAGTGATTATACTAACGAGCCAACCAGCTCCTTCATTCTGACAGCGGTGGCTAAGATGATTGTGCCATCCTCTCATTCTCTCCAGATGCCATTGATGTACCAAAACCAGGTTATTTAAGAGAAATACCCGTTCTGTACCTCAGCGCTCAGGAGGCTGAAGCAGGAGAATCAGTTAACCAGCAAGACATGTAGAGAGGCCCTGTCTTGAAAGAGGAGGAGAAGGAGGGAGGCAGGAAAGAAGGAAGCAAGGAAGGAAGAGAGAGGAGAGGCGAGGCGGAGACTTCCCACTGAGCCAGGGACTACTTGCATTACCTGCTGATTTTCCTCCCCTGGGATTTTTATTAGGCTATTAAGAGGTTCACTTGTGTTTTCTGGGCTTGCACTGGGTACTGGGGACACACCCTCCCCTGAACCCCACTTATACCCTAGAGTGTGTGGGCTGACGCCATCAGTTAGAGCAGGAAGATGCCTGGGACTGGTTTGCTCAGGCGTTAGAGGTGACCTCACTTCCTAGAGAAAGCTGGAGAGCAGGTGTGGACAGGAGGATCCCCGGACTGGAGTCCTCGGCTCCAGCAGGAGGTCTGAAGGCTTCTAAGCCCTGACTCCACGTGATGACGCTGTGGGGTGGGGTGATGGCCGCCCTACCTACCCACCCCTAGCTACCTTTCCTGGAGAGCACCCCACCCTAACCCATGCGGCGGTAAGGAACGGGTAAGACCGCCGCGGTTGGAGATACAGTCATTGGTCCTGCCCCGTCATAACCCGGTATTCAGGGACTCGGAGGCAGGAACAGCCCCACGCTGGACGCATCAGAGTTAAGGCAAAAGCAGCGAGACCCGAGAAAGACTCCACCCTTCACTCGCTGGCTGGACAGAGGGTCGTACAGTCTCTGTGGCCCCCGCCAGCAGTCCTGGACCCCAAGGCTGGGCTCCCTTGCAGTGAGTGTCACCAGGAAAGGTGCCCTGAATGGGTAGGATAGATGGGGCATCCCTGAAGTTGGGGCGAGGGTGCAGGCCTTGTCAAAGGGGCAGACACTTGTTCCCTGTTCCGGAGGGCGGTAGGAGATGGGGAGGACCCCGCTGGTGTCGCTATCAGGCAGGAGCAAGGACCCGTCCGGAGGCCAGTCCGCGCCCTCTGGGGTGGGCCGTGCTCGCCGGGTCTGCGGGTCGGGGTGGGTGGGGAGGCTCCAGCACCGCTCTGCAGGTCGCCGCCGGCGGTCAGTCGGCCTGGGGCGCCCTGAACTCCGGCATGCTCCAGGTGCGCGGCGGGGGTGGCGCGCCGCGCTCCACATCCTCCGAGATGGTGCGGATGTCGCTGGCGACGGGCGCGATGCGGGCGCGGGTCTTCAGGGACGACAGGCTGCCGCGGGGCCGCAGGCTCCACTGGCGCGTGAGCCTGTGGGCCTCCTCCTCCTGCTTCATCTTCTCCAGGGCCTCCTGCAGCGCCGAGCGGAAGAGCCGGGCCACCTCCTGCACCTCCGGCTCGCGCTCGGCCAGCAGCTGTCGGAACCTGCGGGGACGTGATGGCTGAGCACCCCCTGCAGCAACTCCCCGCCTTGCTCTCCGCCCGTCCGTCCTGAGCTCCCAGCTCCGTTCACCTCCACTCTGAGCCTCAACGACCCTCTCTGTGAAAGGCAACGCTTCACAAGCTGGGTGCCCCTAGGCAGGAGCCAGAGGCTGACGGCGACCGCAGCTGGCTGTGGGAGGCTTTCCCTTCCCCCCTCCTCCCGCCCCACCGGCCCTGTGACTGCCCTGAGGTGCACGCGTGACTATGTCACTGTATTTACGGAGAGATCTCCCCCAGCTCCGGGTCTCTTCGGGCTCTGCTGACGCTCTGCTGTCTCGCTGGCTCTGCCCCTTCTGAGGAAGGCCAAAGGCCAGGAAGACCGCAGGTGGCCTCCGTGGTCCTGTGTGTCTCCCTAGCTGTTTCCTCTGCCTAGATTTCTCTCTAGCGCTCAGGGTCGGCCATTTGCTCCCTGCCTTCCTCCGCCCTTGGCATCACAGCAAGGAGTCCCCGTACTGTGGGTTTGGCGGGCAGACCGGGTTCCCTTTGGCACCAGCTATGTCAGCTCCATCTTCTCTTCTGAAGTAAATAGTTTTAGGGGCCTCCATCAGATAGGATCAGAAAAACGGGAGGCCTCAGTCTAAAAGGAAGGCAGCCAGCATGAAGACTACAAAAATGAGAGGGGGAAAATAAGGGCAAAGTTCTCCTTTGGGGGGAGTTTTAGAGAAAGAGGCACACTGGTCAAGTGTTGGAGGACATTGGAGGAGTCAAGGTCAAAGTGTAGATTTGTCCTTTACAAAGGGAAATGCCGGTAAGAAACTTGTGTTCTTCTGGAGTCGTCCCTGGTTTTGGAGTGATTTTGCCAGTTCTATGAGGACAGAGCCAGGTGGCCACAACCTCAGGAAGGTGCTTCAGGTTCTACACGGTGTTGTACCGGAGCCTTACGCACTTGGTGCCCTGGGCTCTCACACACACGTGCTGAGCCATACCTGTCCCTCTTCCCCACACACTCAGACCTGTGTCAAAGTTGATGGAAACAGAATAGTTAAGACAGGCTGGGGCTGGAGAGATGGCTCAGCGGTTACGAACGCTGTCTGCCCTTGGAAAGGTCCTGAGTTCAGTTGCCAGCAACCACATGGTGGCTCACAACCATCTATACTGGGATCGGATGCCCTCTTCTGGTGTGTAGGTGTACATTCAGAAAGAACACTCATCTACATAAAATAAATAAATAAACCTTTTTAAAAAGATTATTTATTTAAAAAAAAAAAAGAAGAAGAAAAGAAAAATTAGGATACCAGTTTTCTAAAGATTTCCTGGGAAAGGTCCCAAAGAAAGAATACTGAGGCTGAAGCAGCAAGATTGCTGTGAATTTGGGACCAGCCTAGACTAGCCTGGGCTGGAAGAGAAAGAAGAGGAGGAAGAAATGCAGCAGGAGAAGTAGGGGACATTGAAGATAAACAGGACAAAGGAGCTGTTCTTGACACGCAGGTTCATGACCACCCAGCAGAACACAGAACTTAAGAGGCTTGAGCCCCACCCACCACAGCCCGAGCCCCACCCGCCACAGCCTGAGGGCCTCCAGGATTTGCCTGCGGGACCCAGAAGCAGCTTCCCCGGGTCTAACATGCCCTTTTCCGCTCCTTTTCCTACCTTACCCCCTCGAATACGTATCTGGGCCACCCGTGCCCTCTGGCTCTGCTCCTCGCAGCCCTCGGTTCCTGCGCCTGTGAACTTCTCTGGAGCCGCAGGGTCCCCAGCCCCAGGCCTGGCTCACCTGAGGATGGCAGGCCCGCAGTAGGACGGGTGGATCCTGGCACACACGCCCTCCAGCTGCAGCCGCTCTGCGGGGCTCAGGTCATAGGAGGGCCTGGGCGTGCTGGCCAGCCAGCTGTAGTCCACGCCCGTGCAGACCTTCTTGACCGCGCTGCGGCGCTCCCTCTGCTGCCTCTCCACCTCCCTCAGCTGCCCAGCCAGCTCCATCATGAGGGTCTCCAGCACCATCTCGGCAGGGCTCCGGGCTGACAGCCGCGGCGGGGCGTCATTCCACCGGAGCCGAGGGATGAGGGACATGGTCCTGCGGAGACAGCGAAGAAGCAGGTCTTCCCTGGGCCCCTTGTCAGCTAGGGAAGAGCCCAGCAGACCAAGGAGAGAGGAGAGTTAAGCCCCAGCTGAAAACATCTGCACCCCACACCCCACACCTGTGCGGGGTCGCCTCTTTGAGCAAAATTCTTTAATTATGGAAAACGAAGTAGAGAAGCCGTTTGAGCAGCAGTTGTGAATAAGCTTGGCTCGCTATGAACATTGCGTAGATATGATGCATGCAGCCACGGCGATAAGAAACCCGAAAGCACTGCAGCGGCCGAACCCGGAGAAACTACCCCAGATCTCACTAACCCTGAACAAAGCAGGAAACGGGACATGGGACCTGCTGAGCACAATATCCCTGTCATCTATGGGGGAGAAGCGCACACAACACAAACACACAGAGCAAACAACACACAACATATACACACATACAACACACAGAGCAAACAACACACAACATACATACAAACACACAGCAAACAACATACACATACATACAACACAGAGAGCAAACACATACAACACACAGAGCAAACAACACACAACATACATACACAAACAACACACAACATATATACACCTTCAACACACAGAACACACATGTATACACACAGGCACCCTTAGATACTTAGACCCTGTGCCAATCCAACAAGGAAACGCTGTCTCAGGCTCCCCTCAAGGATGGCACACTTAGAAATGTGTGGGTTGGCATTTCCCTGACAAGCCTCCACTCACCACCAAGTGCAGTGCAGAGATACTGACACGGAAGCACTCGGGACCCTGCTCTCCGAGGGACGCCGTGACTGGTGAGGAGCATGCTCAGTTATCTACGGGGGGGGGGGGGGGGGAGAGGGGGGGCGGGGTCAGAGGGGGGGGGGGGGGGGGGGGAGCGGGAGAGGGGGGGCAGGTTCAGAGGAGCTGTGGGTGGGCAGGGAGAGAGTAAGGGCAGACGTCAGACCAGACGCAGGGCTGATAAAGATGGGGCCTGTGTGAAGACCCAGCCGTGGTCCAAGTGTTCAGAGGGCTGCCTGAGCAGGACATCAGGTAAAACAACTCCAGACCAATCAGGTCAATGTGAAACCAGAAACTCCGCAGCTGTTAGAGAAAAAAAACACCACAGGCACAAGCACAGCTGTAGCGGGAATTCCGGGGAATTCGGTGTCTTTAAAAGCCCAGTTATGCTATGTGACTATGGTCTTATTTTAATCCCAGGTGTGGGATACGGGGCTGCTTCAGATTGTCCACAGCAGCTGACGTCAATGTATCTCGTGCTCTGGCCGGGGCGTGGTTTGTGCCAGCTGCACATAGTTTAATTCTGGGCACTCCTGAGAGGGCGTAAAGGGGAGATTTGCAAGCGAGTTAGGGGCGGTGGCTGCTCCCTCTGCTGCTGCCCCTGCCGCTGCTGGCTTGTCCTGCTGCTGCGTTTGCTATTGCTGATTTGCTGGTTTGACCACTGGATATCCTGACAACAAAGACTGAACTTGCCCCAAGGAACAACACCCTCAGCAGGAAGTCACCTGCAGAGGCCTATGGGGGGGGGGGGAGGCTTTCCCCTCCAACGCTCTGTCTCTCCAACTTAGTGTTGGGAGGTTAGTAGGGGTTAGGATGGATAAGAAAGGGAGGTAGAATTATAAGAACCAAAAAAAAAAAAAAATACAGATAAAAACCAAGTACACTAACACATAGCAAGCCTTTGTCACGAGGACTCTAGTTAATCAGGAAATAAGGCCAACAACCAAAAAATGGAACCTGATGAAATTTCAAAAGCTTCTTTGGAGGAGGGGTCTGCAGAGTAGGAGAAAACCTTTGACTTGATGGCTACACATGTGACACAATTAATATCTAGAATACACAAAGAATTTTAAAAAACTAAACAAGAAATTAAATAACGGTCAATAAGAGGGCTGATAAAATGGACAGTTTTCAAAAGATGACATGCAATGGCACACAATGACACACAATGACACACAACGACACACAATGACACACAATGACACACAACGACACACAATGACACACAATGACACACAATGACATGCAGTGACATACAATGACCAATGAACACACACCAGCCAGAGCTGGTCCCAGGAGTGACCACCGGCACTATTCTCCTGGAGACCCAAGCTGCCCTGTAGCAGCAGATTTTTTTTTCAGGGACTAAGGCTGGGTGGGCCCCTGAGTTCTGGGAACCTAAACCTCTGTGGCCCAGCTTGAGGCTCTCACTGGAAAGGAGAAAGTGGTCTCAACTTTGCTCGCCCTGCCTCTGTACCCCACAGGGGCCTGATGCAACAGCGGCTATTTCCATCCCTGGGGCCAGCTGCTCTGCCCAGCAGGTTCGAGGAGCAAGCTGGATTAAGTTCTTAGGGTGACAGGATGGAGAGGGAGGGTGGAGGGAGGGCCACTCTGCAGGTAGTCCAGCCAGGGTGGACCCCAGACCAGCAGGCTGTGTGTGGCCTGCTCCCCTCTCCTCACCGCCCCCTCTGGGGGTGCTGCTCCCCTTGGAAGCAGAGCTCCCGGCAGCTTCCGGGCTCTCCTCATACTCTAGCTCGTCACTGGAGCCTGTGACAGGCCCTGGTGACCTCAGAGCCTGCCGTAGAGGCCTGCTCCCCACTCAGCCTCACTAACAGCCTCAGACACAAGCCTGGGCTTGAGAACTGAGTTGAGCTGGGGTTAGGGAGAGTACTGCGCTTCCAGGGCGTAAAGTGGCACTAGTGTCTGGGAGAATGTCAGGGGGCCACACTGGAGTTTGTGGGTGTGGGCAGGCTTACACTCCAACCACTCAGACAAGCAACATACATGTGTGTTTACACGCACACAAACCTGTAAGTCCAGCGTTTGCAAAACCAATTGCTCTATCTGAGGTCTTTTGGTGTTGAATTCGGTGTTTTTTCCAGCTTCCCTGCATGGCGGGCGGCAGGTGCGCTTCCACCAGCAGGCACAGGCAGTGTGCTGGGCCGGCTGAGCCGCAGCAGGCCTGGGGCCTGGGCCAAGCCTTCCACTACACTAAGCGCGAGGCTTCCTTGAGAAGTGTGTGCTCAAGAATAGGTTTGGTGGAGGACGTGATCCAGCACCCTAGATTCTGAGCGGGGGTCTCTGGAGAAAGCCACTGGGATGCCTCCGCAGGAGGCAGCCTGCGTGGAGGCGCCTGTCTTCAGTGTGTGGCCATCCGAGGGGACATCCGGGAGCCCCTCGCTGAAAGCTCACTGTCCATCCGCCCTGATAGCCAGGCCTATGTTTACAGGGTGGGCACACTGTGGCACACTCCCCAGATGTCTGGGACACACAAAGCCGTGTCTGCCGGGTCGGTCATCCCAGAATGCCCAGCGCTCTGGACTGAGTGCTGCCTCGTGCCTGCCAGATGGCAATCTGCTCCTGCCTGTGGTGACGCAGCCAGGAAGGGAGAGAATGAAAGCCAGCCAGGATGAGGCACGGAGGGTCCCAAGACAGAAAGGACCCCAGTGCTGTGGTCTGGGGGGGAGCTGGGGGTGGCTGTCTCCCGTGTCTGGGCAGGATGGATGCAGCCCGCTGCTGGTGGTTCCTTCCCTCTTCCTCCCCAGATCTCTTCTGAGGAGAACGACCTCAGACATGCTGAGGCCAGGGAGAGAATGCCAGCTGTCCCTGACTCATCTAGCCTATGTCCAGATCACTGGAGCCTCAGTTTCCCCATCTGTAATGGGTCAGTGAGGGTGCTGTTTCAACTTCCTGTACAATCAGAGAAGCCTGGCCAAAAGCTTTATATATCATAAGGCTGGTCCCCTGTGGCTGTCACTGGCCCTCCCTGGGGTCCTGGGAGAATGGAGTAATGAACTTGGAAAATTTTGCTACCACCTTTAACTTAAAATGTAGCATTTCCAGTCTGGAGAGATAGCTGTGCAGCTAAGAGCGCTTGCTGATCTGGCAGAGGACCAGCACCCACAAAGCGGCTCACGATTCTGGGGTATCTGATGCCCCCTTCTGATATCCACAGGCCCCAACCACACACAGTGCAGGCAAAGCACGCAAGCACATGAATAAATCTGCAATATTTTAGCGTGGCATTTCCTCCAGGTATAATCGCCACCACATGGCCCGGGCATACCCGTACGTAGCTCCTGTTACTTTCCCTCCAGCCAAGGAGGAGGTAACTAGAGCCCAGTCTTCACAGTCGCTATTTATGGGATGGTGTGTGTTCACCGATACTCTGAAAGGAAAGCTTATCAACCACCACTTCCTGCCCCCAGCTTGGCGCAAGCTGGACCCCAACCTGAATCCCGTCCTTCTGAGGCCCTGCCATCTGGTGGCTGTGCAGGCGGAGTGAGCCCCTTTCCTTCCAGAGAAACTGCAGGTGCCTCGGGGCTGGTGCACGCAAAAGCCCCCATTTCCACCGTTGCCGCTAGGCGTCGCTCTCCTCCCGCCTTCCCCCTTCATTACCCCGTCACCTCTGCGCGCAAGCTGAGCCTCTCCTCTGGCCTATTTCTGGACATCCCTGAGGACAGTGACTTCTCACCATAGAAACGCCCCAAGCCTACCCTGACTCCCCAAGGCAAGAGGACGCAGGCTCCAGGCAGTTAGACCACTGCGCACCATTGGCGCACAGCGAAGGGGTCCTTGGTGAAGGACCCTGATTTAGTGGTCCAGAGGAGCCAACCAAGCAGCTCTCTCCTTGTACAGCCGGGCTCCCGCAGCGTCTGCAGGCCAGGGAGGGCTCTGTTCCGGGGGACCCTCGGGCCCCAGAGCACAGGTTCCCTGGTGGAGCAGGTGGAGCTGCGGCCAGACCTGGGTCCTGGCAGAGGCCCAGAGAGCATATGTAAGGGCTCCTCTCTCTGACTAATTCTCTTCCTGGCTCTGTTTTCTCAGGTCCAAGGTCAACCTCACAAGCTGCAGTTGACCTTGTTCCTTCTGCATTAAAAAAATAATCACCTACAGTCCACCAGGCCAGGTGTAAACTGGCCTGGCCTGTGGGTCTTTCGCTTACCTGACAAAGACCTGCTCATCCCTCAAAACAATCACTAAGAGTTAACTGCTTCCTGTAGCCTGACCCGTATTATACCCCATGGAGATAGCATGGATCTCAGCAGCCATGGGACCCAGCATGCCAACGTCTGAGATGGTGGGTAAATGGACACATGGGCATCTGGACATGTGAGTTGTTGGATGGACGGGTAGATGAGTGAGAATGAGTGAGTGAATAGGGGAGGGAGGAAGGGAGGAGGGAAGAGAGGAAGGGAAGAAGGGAAAGCCTGGGTGGATGAATCCGTGAGTATGTGGGTAAATGAATGGGTGGGCGATGGATGAATGCATGCATGTGTGGATAGATGGAAGGGTGGCAGATGGGTAGATGGATGGGTGGGTATATGGATACTTAGATGCATGTGTGGATAGATGGGTCCCTGGATGCATGGATGGATGGAGGATGGGTAGATGGATGGGTGGGTGGATGGAGGATGGGT